TGGGGGGAGGTGTCAATTGGGAGACCAAAAGGAGTGGTGATCAGAAAGATCAATGAGGCTCATGGTGGCTTTTATCAGCACGTGTGATGGCAGTAGTCTTGGGGATCAAGGCTAAGATGTTGTTTGTATGAGGTCAAAAAGAACTTTCCAGATGCAGCTTTTACTTTGTTGGCTATGACCTAACTAACGGTATCTTTAACAGCTATGTATCATGTGACAAGATGCTCTTGTTTTTTCTGAATATGTATCAGCATTAATTGCCTCTCATCAGGGCACAAACAGGTTTTGTTTTTTAGAGATCCTCTTGAGACTACATTTTCTATCTGCACTAACATATTTATAAGGTGATACAATCACCTTCTGTATTTGAGTTGATATATGGAGTATTTGCACTCGTACGGAAGCAGAATTATAAGAATTCATCATTATCCTCAACAATTATCAACTGTCCATTAAATTTCAAGGCAGAACACACAAAAAAGTATCAATTTGCTGGACACCACAGTATTTAAATTGGCATAAGACGAAAACTATTTGTTGGCAACAGAAATCTTCTTCTCAGAATAACTAACACATTTCCACACACAAAAAAACTATCACGCTAAACAGAGCTTCCAAATTGGTGAGCTCATTGTTGATGCATTTCTGTTGGATATTCACAAAGCTGGAATATTTTAAACTTAGCAGTTACTACCATTTTTACTACAGCTCTGATTTCAGTCTATTCAATTTCAATTTAACAACTGGCAGAGTTTTTGTTACAATGGCATTCACTGTATTTTCTCATTTAGTAGTACTTGAACATACTTGCAGGCTGAAGTTTGAGATTCCACAAACATTTGCAAGTAATTCATTATTTCCTGGCACCTAGTTGGCTGAGTGCACCTTTGTTGACAGGCACAAAATTGTTCTTTCTTCTTTACAGCCTCCTTGTCTCTCTTCATCACTCTTGTGATCCACATGTCCTTCCACCCCATTGACACTTATTTTTACCTGCAACCTTCCCCCAGCCATCTCGACAAAAAGTGGCTCACATGGCCGTCTCCAAATTTGGAAAAAAGTGGGATTCTGCATACCTTTCCTGTCAAACCCTAGTGTTGACAAAAACGCTGCGACTGGGCCCACCTCATGTCCACCCCCACCCCGCCAAGACCGAACATTGGTAAAACTGGGACTGGCATCTCAGCTCAGCTCTTGGCATGCCCTTCCCAGAACTTGACCATCAGCTCTTGGCCCATCCCTCTATCTGGTCTTGGGGGGAAAAGGCAGCTAGCTTCCATTTCTCTGCCCTTGCCCTCACACCAGGACTCCAGCAACTGGTCGCCTGCTGACACCATCATTATCAAAACGTACTTATCTTTCTCACTGGTCGTCCAGTCACAGGTTTCTTCTAGGCTTTGTCTGGTAATGATCGGCTCACTAGTGAACCTATCAGCAGCAAGCATAGGTGTGAACTAGCCTGTGATTGGAGGAAACATTTCCTTCCATTCATCTTAAGGGGGCAACTTTTCCCTGATTGGTCACTTTCGTGATTATGTTTTCCCAGGAACTTTGTGGAATTCAGGGACAGAGTTGCCCACTACCTCTGTACTGTCACAGGTCAAAGTAATATTTAGAGTGATTCAAACAGGCCTTAGGCGCTTTATTTGCAACTGCAAAGAGTTTAACACATTTTTCAGGCGTTGGTCCTGTTTACTTAATCTTTTGCTTATTACTAACATTGTGGGAGTCACACCTCCAACTCGAAGACCATGAGTCTCTTTCCCACCATGTTGAAGATCATGGTGAATTTTTATTGCCCAAAATGCGGGTATGGGGTCATAATCATTCTAGGACAGTGCCTGCATTCATCTGGCCATCAAAACAGCTTCTCTACCCTCTATGCAAATGCTTTGCTGAGATGCAGACTTTGTCCTTATATCTCAGTTATGCTGATGACAGATTTGAGATTCAGCATGTTCAAGAATTAATTGTGTATTCACAGATGCAACTATGTTTATGTGAGGTTTCACATATGTAGTTATCAACGTTATGATCTTAAACTTGTGAGTCTACCTAAGGAGCATAGCTGAGAAATGAACTTGTCTACGGCTAAAACAATGCAATTGCCTTGACAGCAGGTTGCAGTGCTTTAGATGTATGGTTCACAAGTTAAGGTCTGCCTAATGCTGACAGCTCTGCCTATTCTAAATGCGTTAATAGCAGTTTGACATTGGAAATGGAAAATCTCCATTCCCTTGGTTCAATTAATTCTTTTACCTGATTTTTACAGGGGAGAAATTAATGTGTTTCTTTTACACTGCAAACAAAAACAAAATCTGACAGAATATTGTGTCAGAAGGCAATTTTCTTCACCTGGGACTTCAGTGCGAATTCACTTGAGACAGAGGGATAACTGTCCCTCATGTGTCTGAGAGTGCAAATGCAAATTTCCAGGGAAGATAAATGAACTGGATATAAATACCATAAATTTTGTTCTAGTTCAGTAATCCACCATGAGGCCATAGAATAAATAAAAACAAGCTGCTGATATAACAACATACAACCACCTGAGGGTAGATTTACAATAACTTTTCTTCCAGCATATCCATCCCATCCTTTGCATTTAAGAAACAATTCAGTCTCCTTCAGCTCTGCATAGACATCCAGTGGTATCAGTTTATTTACTGTTCATGCAGTAAAATGACTAACGTCAGCATTGAATCTTAACATGGTTTTTGACTAACATACATTGGAACTTGGAAATTTTTAACAAATTATCCATTTGTTGTTTAGAAGTAACATGAAGTAACATGGCTTGCAGTCAATTATGGAAGTATCCAAGTTGTTAACTCTTCATTTTGTCTTATGTATTTTTGACCTGTTCAAAATGAATCATATATTTTATACCGAACTGTTTTGTTCTGTGTGCATCTACATTTAGTTCAATCTTTCAAGCCATTCACTGTATCCTGGCTAGAATGGAAAACAGATGATTTGTTATAATTGTGACCATGTCAGCCATTAACACATATTTTAAAGCAGAAGGGTTGGACTTTCCACTTCCATCTGTTCTGGCTTGGCTTTGTATTGTAGTATATTCATTTATTAAAATTCACCCAGTTTGTTTTAAAATAGTCAAACCAAGCTCTTGAAATTACCGTACCAGTCCATTGACATGATTGTGAGGATGAATTTTTAGAATGAATCTTAGCAATGTCACTTGGGCCTTTCAATTCTAGTTATACCATCTCAACAGAAGCACTCATTCTGACATTACCTTGATGAAAATGAATACTTCTTTATCTTGTAAAATTACCTAAAATATATATTTTGTAAAGCAATAAATAATAATCCTCATATTTCACAACTACTGGTTTAAATCTTACATTTCTAACACAATAAAAACTCAACTGTAAACAAAGTACAGTCATGGTCTTAAATAAATAGGCTACAACTTTTATACCACCATGGTTAAATGCTGTGTTAAAACTTCAACTTGCAGCTTTATGATATAAATCCAAACTAATATAGTTTCATTGAAAGTGAAACCATTCCTGCTGAAGCATCTTTGTCTTCTGAAAACATTTAATGTCAATCTCAACAACATATTCAAAGCCTCACACTGCTTGGTTCACCAAAACGCTGTGTTGGAGTATGTTGATATGTTTTTCCATCCGTTGTTTACTACATGATAAATCCTTCGGCTTTGATGGGAAAGTGTTAAGCTGGTGTTACACAACATCCCATAAAGATGACATGAAAACCAAGTAACAGTCACCATCAGTGTTGGATATCACATAAAAGCAACTGTGGTCTCAGAAAACATGATCCATATCCTTTCTAGAGGAATAAGTGGCACAGCATATATTTAACATAATGGAAATAAGACATGAAAAACAGATAAAATTAAATTGCATGCAATACTTTGTGAAGTTATTCTGAAAGGATTTTTTTTGTTCTTAATATTCAACTATGATTTTTCTCACTGTGGTTACTGATCAGTAATACTTCAAAGTATTAGTTCACATATCAATGTAAATCTTGAATGAAAGCTATCAAAAAATACAAAGATTAACCCCCCGCTGTATGCTAACAGCTGTTTTTATTTGTTATGCACACTAAATGATCCACGTCTTATAAGGAGACATTAAATCTTTTGTAGACAGGGTGTGCTGTGCTATAAAAATGGTTGCAGTATATCATACAAAATGCAGAAAAATATAAAAGAATACATAAATAGGAATTGGTTATTATAAGCAAACTTGGGGATATATAATACTTTCACTTAACAGTATGTGACATCACTTCAACTTCCCATGAAAATATCAAATTGGAAAGTATGCCCAAAATAAGCCACCATATTTTAAACATAAATGAGTTTTGTGATGCTTTAATTGCACAGTAACAAAGCAGTAATCATGAAGCTTCTCCTAAGGTCAAAACACATTGGGTGACAATCATAATATCGTACGTTATTAATATTGTGATGCATGTATGTATTACAAATACACACGCACCAACAGTGTCCAATGCCTAAACACCTATTAGACCAGTTCAGAGAACATTAAACATTTCCTTAAAACCTAAAGAAAAATGACAATAACACTATTTGTAGCCAATAATTAGTGTTAAATGGGCACTTTAACAAGTTCAGTAAGATGCAGGTAATAAAGGTTTGCGGTAACTGTTTCTTTTGCGTTGCGGGTTACATTAGTTAAGTGAAAGATGGGATTTTTCATACTATGCCATCCAATTGTATTGTGATTTTAAGTAAAAAATTAACCGAGTCAAAGAATTGATGAATAACAAAAGAAATATGGATTTTTAAAAATCGTTTAATAAAAAAGTCAAACTTAAAAAAAAACTGAAAACAATATTTGAAGAGGAACAGAAGCGATAAAAACTGAGACACGATCTAAAAAATACAAACTAAAACGTCTTCAATCTCTCAACTTACCTATAGTATGACTTCTGATTGAAATCAATTAAAAGAAATTTAAAACACAAAATAACCTTTTATTTATTTCCACTGAAGACTACACAGTGACACTGCTGTAGTTCTAGGAGTTATCTACATTTGCATATATTTACAGCCTTGCATATTTACACAATCCGAATACAGTGTTAGAAACATAAGCTTTGAGAGTTGTCTCAAATTAAAATCAGAACCGTAAGAAAGTTCTCACACGAGCTGTTACTTTCTATGCTGATATAAAATGCAGACGTAGTCCTTTGCTGCATCAAAATACATCTCATAAGAAGTCCCAAAGAACTAACAAAAGAGGATAATTCTTTGAATTTGTAAGCAGATACTGGCAGATCACGTTTCTCTAACAGAAGCGTGTCTTGGTTCTGACCTTGAAACTGACTGTAAAACAATAGCTCACAGTTCTCATATTATTAGAAAATGGCAAAAAATTCACTGTGATCACACTACTGCAAAATACCTTCTGCTCAATGCAAAATGTGTGAAGAAATAAAAGAAAATCTCTGCACGTTGCAGGAATTACAATGCAACGGTTTTAAAAATAATCGTAACAACACAGCCTGAAAAATGGCCACATAAGCAGATGTCTTTGGCAAAGTGGTTGGCACATGGTCCTTTACTGTTACCTCTTGCCCATTTCACTCTGTCTCATGAAATGGATATTATTTACACTGTCTGACAATTCAGGGTATTGTTCAACAGTTTTAATAAAGTAGCCATCATAACCTTGCACCCTGCCAGTGATCAGTAGCTGCTGCTTTTCTCCATCTGTCCATGAGCGAATGCCTTCCTCTCCATCTTGCAACCTTTGCTGTTCCCGACTCCAGGCCTGTGCTACAGCTCGCTGCCTAGCCAACTCCAAGACACGAGCTTTCTCTTCATCCATGGTTGTCCCATATCGTGTATTTAAACATAGGAAACCGTATTGGAGTTTTATATCGGTGTATCTTCTAGTCCTTCCATTCAGAACAGTATTAATTTGCGAGACAGTAACATTAACTCCATTCTCCAGGGTTCGCCTTCCACCATTAAGGCCCAAAATGGTGAGATCCCTTTCTGCAGGCCCCAGTTTAATGAAATAATGTGTGTCCACACCATTAATGGTGAAGTGAAAACTTTCTAAATAGTAGGCATTATTTAACACAGCAGCCACTCTCCTGCCATCCTCATTGGCAACACTTATGATATCAGTGCTTACTCGTCCTCCTCTCACAGCAAATTTCACCCCTTTGCCCAGGATTGAACCACTCGTTGCGAAAGTCTTCACTTGTGCCTTTGGCTGACATCCAGCTCCACTTCCTCCATAAATCCGGCCAAAGTGCTCAACTGTAACAAAGGCTTTGAGTTGCTTCTGTACTATACACTGGACTCCTAAGATAGACTAGTGAAAAGAGAAACCATTAGCATACATTTTCATCAAAAAAAAAAACACCCTGTTCACAACACTGGAATACAATTTCCTTTATGAGTCTTTTCCTGTATCTGGTGAGCAGTTTCAAAAATATTGCCCACTGCTTCACAACCAAATTTTGTAATTAATCACTTTAGAAGGATTGATTATCTTATGTTTGGAAATTGCACAATTTGATTTTAGAATAAATTGAAACAAGAAACTAAATCTTTCTAAATTACCTTTAACGAAACATCATACTGTGCTATTATGTGCTATTCCTAAGTGCTGTAAACCTCTGAAAGCAATTGAAAAACTGCACGAATCAGATAGCTCAAACCATCTTTGATGGCTGCTTGGACATCCTGCTTGGCCTTGAACTCAGAGTCATACAGTCATACAGCATGAAAACAGCCCCTTCAGCCCAACCAGTCATGCCGACCATGTTCCCAAACTAAACTAATCCCACTTGCCTGCGCTTGTCCCATATCTCTCCAAGCCTTTCCTATTCATGAACTTATCCAGGTATCTTTTAATGCTGTAACTGTACCTGCATCCATCACTTTCTCTGGCAGTTCATTCCACACACGAACCACTCTCTATGTAAAAAAGTTGTCTCTCATGTACTTTATAAATCTTTCTACTCTCACTCAAAATTGGCCCCTAGTTTTGAACTCCCTCATCCTAGGGAAAAGACCCTTGTTGTTCACCTTATCTATGTCCCTCATGATTTTATAAATCTTATTAAGGTCACCCCTCAACCTCCTACGCTCCAGTGAAAAAAAGACCCAGCCTCTTCATTCCATTTTTATATTTCAAACCCTCCATTCCTGGCAACATCCTGGTAAGTTTTTTCTTAACCTGCTCCAGTTTAATCATATTCTTCCCATAACAGGGTAACCAGAACTGCACACAGTACTTCAGAAGAGGACTCACCGAAGTCATGTACAACCTCAACATGATGTCCCAACTCCTATACTCAAAGATCTGAGCAAGGAAGCAATGAACTCAGAAAACCAACACACATTTTCAAGGATAGTAGGAACTGCAGATGCTGGAGAATCTAAGATAACAAGGTGTAGAGCTGGATGAACACAGCAGGCCAATTAGCATCAGAGGAGCAGGAAAGCTGACGTTTCGGGTTGAGACTCTTCCTCAGAAAAGGTCTTTTCTTTTTCAGGTCTTCTCTTCTTCAGAAAAGG